GCTTTTGTCAAAATAAAAAGGTTCAATGATCCTTCACCACAGGAAAAAAAACTGTATTCCCAAATTGGGAATTGTTGGGAATTTCCTTCTAATACCCAATAGAAAAACAAAATTCCCAACAAACTAACATTGAGAATCAGTGCCATGTTCCCAATTTCGTTCTCTCTGGGAATTGGATGGAAATTCAAGGAAATTCCCAATAAATTCCCAATTTGGGAATACGGGTTTTTTTCCTGTGCACAAAAGTTCAATTTTATTTTACTGATGAACCTCCCATCTGAAACCCCAGCCCTTCCCCCTTAATAAAACATACCTCCCCTAAGGATCCCCCCCCCAAATAAAACATATCTCCCCTAAGGATTCCCCCCCCCCCCCCCCAAAAAAAAAAAACCCCCCCTAGGGTTCCCCCCCCCCCCCCAAATAAAACATACCTCCCCTAAGGATAATGCATCCTTTATTTCTAGATTGGAGTTCATGGTCTAAGAATAGAATTTCTCAATGAGAAAGGTCATAAAAGAACAGCTACATATCTACCTGAGGTTGCCAAGGAACAAGGTTAGATAACATCTCCTTAGTTACTATCCTACCATCTCACTATACTGTCTTGACCAATGATAGCAGATACCATTAATAAAACTCCTTGAAAATCCTTGCCTGCCAGACTGCAGGAAACATCTTGTTGACATCAAGTGAGAAAATATGTAAATGAATGAATGAAAAAATGACAAAACTGAGAGAGATGTAAATATTAAGCTAACATTGTTTGGTTATAAAAAGGCTAAGAACTTGGAGAAAATCGCTTGAATTTTTTTGACCAAAGTCATTATCAGAAATAAGTAGAGAAGATAGAAGACCAACAGATAGACGTCTCAAGTGATTCCAATATGGCAGTCAAAAAAATGACATAGCCAATTGAAAACAATTATCCTATTTATTGCTTGGCTCATCACTCTCAATATAACAAGCAAATTAGAAGTAATTGTTCTTCTTACCTGTAGTAAACTCAAAATCGTGTGTCCAATCAGATTGCTTTCAAAATCCAAAACATGCATGCTTGATGTTAAATATATACTGTCTGTATAGAGTATAATTACTGTAAGATGTGTGCCACCTAAATGAACATTTTCAAACATTAGTCATTCAGAGATCTTTCTTTTCGGATGTTTTCAAAACTCAATTTGTTGATTTTTGGTCAGGAATAGTTAACAGGTATAACAACTACAAATTTTTCCAATTTAATGGCTAATATGAAAAGAGTTAATGAGGTGTGGCCGCCCCTCATGCACTGTGATAGACATACTGAATGAAACACACATGGCATTGTCTTCCGCAGGCTGGACCCACACTCAAACGATTGATTCCTTGCTCAGGAAAGGGGGCTACAAGGGCCATATTAGCCCAGAGGTGCACAGTTCTATCAAAGTAACTCGTTATCAAAGTGAAAAAGTTACTGTTAGTTATAGTGAATTTATGGCAGCAAAGCAACGGGGGGCAACATAACAATAATAATCCTTAGAAGTAGTGGGACATGTTAAAATCACATACTGTACACAGGCATTTTCTATGATATCTAGCTAGAAGATTTGGCACAGTTGTGTTAAGACATTCGAACATGTTGTAAACTTTATTATAATAGTTATATGTGAAGAGGTGGCTTATATTCTATTCTTTAGGTATTTTTCTTATTTATATTTTAGTTTCTTCACTAAGTTAGAAAGAACACATTTTCTCCCTTCCTCCAGGTTTACTTAGCCTGCTCTTTAAAAAGAAATCTATCCTATTCAAGGTTTGTACACTCTTTTTTCAGAAATTTGGGTTTTCACCTTGTAATTTCTTGATAATCAGAGAAGATTTCTAGGCCAAAAGGACAGGAATTGTTAAGGAAAAAATTTAAGGCATTTTTAGGTCCCCATCATACCCCTCTAATAGGCCCTTTGCAGTTAACGGTCACGTGTCTGTACTGGTGAGCAACATTTTATTATTATTTTAAATTGGTGATTCTTTTTAGCTACTTGTAAAGAACTGAATGAAATGATGTGTAACCAGTGTGTCACGAAATGCAGTTTTATTACGATCTCTCGAAGCAGGTTGTAGAAAGTGTGTTTGCTCACCAGTATATTTCACCCATGGAAATCAAGATGTTCATTCATTTGCTCTCAGTGAATTAATCATCATGTGATTACTGAGCTGCAAAGGGCCTATTTCACTCCTTCAGTGACTGTATTTAATGTTAGTCTTATTTTCTGCCATCTTGCCGCACCTCACTGCCTGTACTTGTATGTATATTTTTCACATGTACCACGTTAGGTATCTTTTATGCTATCAAAGTCTAGCTAGTCCTTTATATTTAAAATATTATGCAAGATATAAATATTACAATTTATCAGTGACCAACTGACATAGCATTAAGATGAGCACTTGAGTGTAGGAGAGCTGTTTTATAATTTGGTATTTTGGGAAATCCTGAATTTTATTAATGTTATTACTGATGTGTGTAAATTCATATAATTACTATTGTAATATTTCTTGGAATTTAGGGTTTTTTCTGTTGCAAAAATTCCTGGAGGGAAAAAATGATCTTAAAGTGATTATCATATAGACCTTTTCAGCTTGAGTGTAATGTTGTCCCATTTCAGACCACGTGTCATTCCCTAGAGCATAATAATTCGTTTAACGGCTGTGAAAGAGAAGAGACATGAATATGGATACAGCTAAAACAAAACATCTTATTCTCTGGGGAATGACACATGTGGACATCATTATGCTCAAGCCAGAGGTCTAATCTTGGCAGATATGTACATATTAAATATCTACATTTTAAAGCCCATGTTAACAAGCCAGTAGATTGCCAAGCATGCTAAAACCAATACAACTCCAATATTGCAGGTCGTAGTGTATGAAAAGCCATAATTATAATACCTCCGAACTAAATAATTTAATCAAACTTAATCCTACTAGAGACCTCTAATTTTCTCAAGTGATTACAAAGGTAGTATCCTCTGCAGCCAATGCTCACACCACCAAGTAGCTACAACTTAGTGGAATGAGCATTGCATGACGACACTAACAGCAGTCAAAGTTGGAATAATATTTTTAAACATACATTCGTGTACTGTTTATTAAACCAGCAGGAGTAATTTATCGAGTATAAGCATGAGGCACAGCCAAGTGGTCTTAGACCCGATAAAACATGATCTGCAAGTTTATTGAATGGCTTAAAAAACTTATGATGTATGCTCTCATGTTGTACCAAATTCTTTACGAAATGAACCACGTTTAATAGAGAAAATCCAAGTTAAAGTTTATGCAAATGAAGAAGAATCTATAAAATTCAGATATAAAGCCTCATGAAATTTCTATTGTGTTTCCATCATGAATCGTTAATTTACTTTATCAAGTTCAAACTCGACTTGAACAATTATTTTTTGGTTATTCATAGGGAATTCAGGGATAAAGGTGTTACATAAATAACACAAAATATTCAAGGGGGTGAGAAGTGATTTGAAGATAGAACATTTGTATACAATACCTTGTACATATATCAGTCTAAACGGGCTCGACTTATTTGTCTTTTTAATGTACAATAATCTATGCCACACTCAGTGCTCATTCTAATGTTTCATTATATTATACATTTACAGTGCAACTACTACAACTGGGGCCACTTTGGCAATGAGAACCAATCAAATAATTGTAGAATAAAAACAATACATTCCAACTTTTGGTAGTGGAGTCAATCAGAAAACAATAGCCTTTCAAAATTTCTTTTTATTCTCAAGAGAAAATGATGATGGCTGTCTAGATGTTTACATAAATAACATCAGGGTCAAATTTACAGTTCTTGTGCATTCCAGGTTTCCGATTGCCTCCACTACCCAAAGTTGGAATGTGCTGTTTTCATTCTAAATTTTAATTGGTTCTCTTGTCTAACTTTCAAAGTGGCCCCAGTGTCAGACAGTAGCTGCACTGTAATTATATTTTGATATATTATCCTTTTCATGGTAAGGATGGTACCACCCCTTTATGGAACTGCTCCTGTATGGGACACCACTGCTATACATACTGCATTGAACACTACCCAGAAATGGGACACCCTCATTTCTTGTTGCACATTAAATTACTAACCTCTGAATAAGCTTGAATTCTGCCATCCATGCCATTAACTGGTGTGAACTTTATCTCGTTAGTACTGTTATTATATTGACTATTATTTGCCAAAGGCGAAGTGATTATCTGTGAATATTTACCATGCCGCAAGTCTTCTAGTGGCAAGATAAATATTTACCAAAATCACTCAGCCCAAGGTGAAAAATTGTTTTAGTATAATTTTGAACTTGAATATCAGAGAAATGAGGAAATTCAGGATTAAAAAACGATTGGTATTCTGCTCTGAAAAACTTTGGAAAACCTCATACTTATTGCTTGAGTAGTGATTATCATCTCATAATCACTGGTCACTTGACCAATCACAGTGCTTGAAACTCTATATTAAAGTCTAAGATTATACTAATAATTATACAGCTTCTCATTAATCCCATATAGGTAACTGTCCAATTATTTTCTTAATTAGACAGGTCTTGTTGATATGGGATTAATTAGGCAGCTATATAATTAATAGGTAATAAGATTTCATGCTCCCCAATCAAGAAATAATTAGACTCGAAAAATTCCTCTGACTGCCAAATTGGACTCGGCCTTCGGCCTCATCAAATTTTGGAAGTCCTTGAAATTTTCCTCGTCCAATTAAGAGCATGGAGTCCTATTACATATACTAATATTAGGGATATTGTATGCTGTTGAGATAATAGTTAGTGATCTCAAATATGTAATCAGTAGGTTAGTAGGGTATGTTGTAAAATTTAAACGAAAACATTTTTATTCAGAAATAAATATGTTTTGAACCATTTCTTGCACATAATTTTTACTATTGTTTTTGCATATAGAGGTTTTGCACCATCATGTGACGGCAGCCATTTTAGATGGCAGGAACAATACAATCATTTTACATGAGAAAGAATTCAATTTCCAAGAGCAAAGGGATTTTATTGTTCTGTCATCTAACCACAAGCAGCCCAAGCTGGATTATGGTGCCCGCATGTGATGGTGCAAAACCTTAAAAGTATTAAACTCCACATAGTTTTGCATTCATACATTATTTAAAATAAAAGTATTTAATATAACAGCATTTTTATTTCAGCCATTTGCTTGCTCACAAATCAAAAACAAAGTAGATTTGAGAATGTGTCAGATTGATCCTAGTTTTCTTGGTTTTTGATTTTAGCAAATTTTAACACACCTTTTATGTTATAAATTTTTTAGGGAAAAAAAAGAATCCCTGAATGTGGGGTTAAAATTATTATTAACCATTTTGCATGAACTGTAGCCCCTGAGGATTGATGGCTGTTCACTCAATTTCTAATAAATATGGAAGCAATGTTGATACCTTGAATAATTTTATATTAAAGTGCATCTCCTAAAGTGGTTTAAATATTAGAACATCAAAAATTGTTTGCCACACTTCAGTGTCATTCACTTAAATGTATAAAAACTGTGGAAAATAGTGGTGGATCCAAAGATGAATAATGGTCCGTGTAACACTCCACAAAGAGCTTTTCAATTTAGTTGGCGTGAATTGGACATATGAAATTTGCCTGATTTTTGAATTTTCATTTTTTATGATCATGTCAAAATTCGAATATTATCTCATCAATGTCAATTTTCAATTTTCGAATTCAAAAGTTAAAAATTAAAATGAATTTTTGAAATGACTTTTCGAAATTTTGATTTTGTACTCTGAAAACGAACTTTGGAAAAATATCCTGTAAACAGGGGGAGGTGAAGATTAGGCGGACTGAGGGTAGGTGGGTCCACTAACAACGACAATAATAAAAAAAACCATAGAGGGAGGGGAGGCACCAAGGAGGGTGTTATAACAACATGTAAACCTTGAGAGAAAACCATGGAAGAATTTTCGACCAATTTGTACGATGATGAAAGCGGAAGTGGACCC